ATCCCCGGTTCCGCAAAAAAAAAAAAAAAAGACAGAATGACAAGGACTGCATGCCTCCCCAAGGGATAAGTGGTAACACATGGTCCAAAAAACCTAGATACTTTTCAGTCACCTCGGGGTAAACAAGACTGCCCAGGCCCGCCGCTTCCCAAAAAGCTCTGTAAGGTCCACCCCTTCCGGAAAAGCTCTATTCTTCCTATGTACACTTGGTACATGACTTGCTTCCCCATCTGAACATTAAGTAGCTATAATTGCAACCTTATTGGTTGATCACAGTTCTGTTCTGTATTGCACCCGCCTCGTGATTTACCTGCATAAATACCCCCCAGATAGTGGGCCTACTGGCAACCCACTTGGAGCCCCTCCTACCTCTCAGGGGCTGTATCTTTCCCTCTAATAAACATTTCCTATGCTTAACTCTCCCTTGTTCCTTAGAATTCATTCTTTGATTTGGGGTGGGGGAGACAGGACTTTGGCATTACCTGACACTTAGCAGGTTGGTAGTTATACTCCAATATCACACACACACACACACACACAGAGCTATATGCAGGATAAATGGAGCAATATCTCCCAAAATATGGGATAAAATCCCACCAAAAGCTGCAGTCATGCTATTGTGTTACTGACTTGTTTACTCACTGGAGGGCAATAGCTGGAATAAGATGGCAAGACCCGAACAGTACCTGTGCCTCTGTGACACAAGCTTACGGCTTTGGTTGTCTACAGAATACACAGGAAGTGCAATTAGAGCACTCTAGGGTCTAAGGGCACTGGTTTAAAACCACAGTTCACCCCACTAACACCTCAATCCTGGCCACTATGTATCACATCAATTTTCTAATGGTATGATCATTTGGAGTTGAAAGTATAATGGAACACACTGAACCTCTTACTGTATGGAAACAGCTCTAAATGACACTGCAGAACATATTTCATTATTAACTTCCAAAATAAAAATGGTACATTGTCCTGTGCCCTGCCACTGTCACCACCATGCCCAAGAGAAAGGCTGAAGGGGTCACTGTGATAAAGCTAAGGTGAAGAATGAACCACAGAGATCTGCAAGGTTGTCTGCTAAACCAGCTCCTATGAGTCAAGAGCCCAAGCCTAAAAAGGCCCCTCCATAGAAAGGAGAGAAGGTACTCAACAGGAGAAAGGGAAAGGCTGAGGCCAGCAAGATGGGAATAATCCTGCAGATAATGGAGATGCCCAACCAGACCAGGCATAAAAAGCTGAAGGTGCTGGAGATGCCAAGTGTGTGTGTACTTCTGGTGACTGTACAGTTTGAAGTATTTTTACCAAGTTTTTTTTTTGTGGAACCGGGGATTGAACTCAGGCCCTTGGGCTTGCCAGGGAAGTGGTTATTCCACTGAGCCATCTCCCCAGCCCCAACCAAGTTTTTTTAAATGCAGAATTTTTACTTCTTATTAAGCTATGTTGTTAGCACACAGAACATTTCATTGCTTTGCTGGGAAGAAGCATATGTCAGTAGTACAATGTCTCCAAAGCTGGATTAACATGGTGAAAACATCTTTCCTTGCTAGTTTTGAGACTTCCTCCTGGCTCCCAGGTGGATTCCCTGATGTTGACACATGTGACCACCTTGGCATAAAGGCCTTCTGGTACAGGACAGCTCCCAGTTCATCTTATGTCCTCCTTTCCTCTGCCACCAGCGTAGGTTTAACTCCCTTGAGCCCAGAGACCTACTGGAATCTGATTCCCAAAACTGATGTTACCAGTGTGTCAGGCAATTTGGACTCACAGTAATGTTGAGATGGTGTCCCCCAAGAGTAACTGATTTTTTTTTTCCTAGATTGTGAATCTTCAGATTGATAATTCTGCCACTTTCATTTCCTGAAAGTCAGGGTCATCTTGTGAAGTTGTTAAACATTTTAAACATGAAAAGTCAACCCTCACTCTAAACTTTCCCTACTTCAGAGCCTCAAATGAAGACTTCATTGGTTTTATAGTGGCTTTCCAATTTTTGGTAGTCCACCCAAAAAGGGAGTTTGAAGGTTGTATACTGTTAACAATTGTGTGCCCATGTCCTGCCTGTGATCTGTGATTGATATATATATATATATATATATATATATATATAGATAGATAGAGAGAGAGAGAGAGAGAGAGAGAGAGAGAGAGAGAGAGAGAGATGTTGTTTTTTGTGGGCTCAAGCTGCCTTAAGGGCAGGTCTGGTAATGCAAGTAGAGGTGAGGATCAAACTGTAATATCCTGCACCTGACTGCATTTGCATGGGCAGTCACTTAAACAACTGAGCTAACTACCATGATTATTTATGAAAAGAATCTTTAATAAAGCTGGATACAGGGCTGGTGAGATGGCTCAGTGGTCTAAAGCACCTACTTAGAACAAGCTTAGCAAAGCACAGGGACCGCGGTTCAATCCCCAGCACCACATGCCAGCCAGCCCCGCCCCCTGGTGGGCTGAGCTGGCCACACACACACACACACACACAAATAAATAAATTTAAAAAAAAAAGCTGGATACAGTCTGGCTTGGGAAAGTAAAAATATGAATGTAAGATTTCTTTGGCAGAACCGGGGATTGAACTCAGGCCCTTGCCATTGCCATGTTTATTCTACTGAGCCATCTCCCTGGCCTTGGGAAAATAAAAAATAAAAATGGTACATCATTCCACAAAACTGGATGGCTCTAGATATTCTAATAGCAGCACAGGGCAGATGGTGTCACCAAAAGATTGTTGTATGTACACTCTTGACAGCATAGCAAGGGCCAGTGAGATAGCTCAGCAGACTAAGCATTTGCTTAGATAAGCGCAGGGGCCAGGGTTTGATTCTTGGCACTACCAGCCAAGCCCTCGGGCATGCTGAGCTAGGGATGGAGTCCAGGTGTGGTGGCGCACACCTATAATCCCAGCACTAGGGAGGCTGAAAACAGAAGGATCACCATAAGTCTGAGCTACACAGTGAGACCCTGCACCAAAAAACCCAAACAAAAAAACCACTGTAAATCTTTTACACTACTCACATATAATTACAATGTCAGACTCTAAAGTTTTTAACATGTTCAAGACCTGGCTGTAATTCATGTCTTTACTGCCATGTAGCTCTGATATGAATTCCACTTCTGATGTTAAATAACCAACCACAAATGGTTAAAAGTTGGATAGGACACATTAATGATTAGCTAGCATCTTGGCTTTCTGAAACAACCTGATAGAACATTCTCATCTTCCTGGCTATGATACTACACACCACAATTCTTTGTTTCATGACCGTTGTGGGATTATATCTCATACACCCTTCTGTTCTGTTTGAAATGTTCTGTGTGCTAACAACATAGCTTAAAAAGTAAAAATTCTGCATTTTTAAAACCTTGATAAAAATACTTCATCAAAAGGTGATGATTCTTTCACACACACAGAACCTAATATTCCTGTCTCCACTAGATCAAACAGGACAGAACTTACAGTCCTTGGTTAGGCAGAATCAATGCCCTTCCTCAGCCTGAAGCAGTTACAAGAATTTGGGAGGGTCAGTCCTCCTGCACCCCCATAAGAATAAGGGACAAAAGTCGAGTTTAAGAAATTAATTTAGGTAGTAAGGTAGTAAGGAGACAAGGAAATTGAGTTTTTAAAATTACACTAACTGCAGGTTCCTGACAAGAGCTACTCAAGACTTTTTCCTTCTAGGAAACAAACAAACCCTAGATGTCTTAAAGACAATAATCCTGTAAACCCAGGATCTGAATCTGTCCTTTTAAAATAAGCCCATAAATCTGGGCAGTGTACCTTCCTTCCCACCTATAAATCATGCTTCTTCCACCCCCAAGGAAGCAGCTGGTGGGTGGCATCTCAATTTCAAACAGAAACAGATGGCTGGGCCCAGGCCACCCATATTGAAGATTTGTTCATTAATGTACCCCCTTCCATCTCAAGGCATCTCACTGCTCTGAGCACCTACTCTATACTCTATCTTACACCTCTAGTCAGCCCTTCTTGTGGGACTTTACTGACCTGTCCTGAAAACTTTCCACGATGGGCATCAAGGAACTTATAAACTTATTCTGCAAAGGTGGGATAAGTTCCTTATTTTTAGCCCAAGGGAACCCCAGACCCATGCAGGTAATAATTTTCATTTGGAAAGAAAAAAAAAGTCAGGTATGTTCAGCCACATTAAACCCCTAGATAACACATTCAAGTATGGCTATAAAATGAAAACTGCTTCAGATAAAAGGCTGTTCAGTTCTTTGATAAAATACATAATCATTCATAAAAGGATGCATGAGGGCAAGCGCAGGGACCAGCATTGGATCCTCAGTCCTGCCTGCTGCACTGGCCCTGCTTCCAAGGCCCACTGAGCTGGCGACAGAGTGCAGGCGTGTAATCCCAGTGCTGAGGAGGCTGAAAACAAGATCACCATGAATCCAACCTGCGTTGAGAGACCCTGTAACAAACACACAAAATGGAAAAAAAAAAAAGGATGAGGGATATTAGCATTCTTATTTTCCTAGGGAGAACAGCCCCCACCTTGAAAAGAACAGTGAGAAATACAAGGGAAAATGCTCATGAGAGAAGGGAGAGGACACAGGTGAGCGGAGGCTCCAGCTTTTGCTCTGTACCTCTCCAGAGACTGTTTTCAGCAATATGCTATCTGACGTCCGACAGCCGAGTGAGCTCAAAGCGCCTGCTTGCACAGGCACAAAGGCAGGACACAGAAACATAACTGCACTTCCAGACCACATAAAGTATGGTTTACATAGCCAAGGCTTCTTTCCAACAGATCTGGCTTCACTGAATAAATGAACCTCTTTCCAACTCAATCAAGAAACCTAAATTTACCACCTACAAAAACAAGTGTGTGATGCCAGCAGGAGAAAGTAGAATGTGGCTGCCATTTCCCTAGGCAGATGATCTTAAAGAAAGCTTTCACACAAGGCAAGGGCGAGGCTAGGGAGATAGTTCAGTGGAAAAAATGTCTGCCTGGCAAGCACATGGTCCTGAGTTCAATCCCCGGTACCAAAAAAAAAAAAAAAAAAAAAAAAAAAAGATGACCAATATTAAGGCTATCAACGTATTACATTGGAAGAATATTAGAAAACATCTATCACACAGGGCAAGGATCTAGCATGCAGTCTTTCTGCTGAGGGCCAGTTGGTTCCTTAAAGTGCTCTGTGCCTTAAAACTTACCTACTCTTTCTCATTTATACTGCATCAAAGATTCCTTCCTCTCAGCAAAGGGCCATGGAGATGCACATACAGCAGAGCCTTTTGTCATTCTTAAGTGGTATGGGGATGGAGCCCAGGGCCTTGCACATAGTGGGCAAGTGCTCTACACTGAGCTCCATATCAAGGCCAGGGTGTCTTTAAATAATCAGTAATAAGGCAATGTGTCAATGACCAGGAACGGCACATCTATCTCAGAGGTCTACAATTTAAAACACAAAGCTTAAAATCTCAATTTTCTTAACTAGTAGGACTCAGGCAATAACTGAGAAGCAAAAAATAAAAGTTGGGTATAGATGCACCTGGAAGTGAGGACTAATTCTTGAATGGCTCACACAGAGGTCTGTGTGGGTCCCTGGAGTCACCTCTGCCCTGCATGGCTTTTCTCCCTTTATCTAATCACTAACCACCCAAAATGTGATGAGACCACCAGTGGTAGTGCAAATCTTCCTCCTCCCCTCACACAGCAAGAGAGAAGTCTGGGAGTGTTGGGACATTACAGCAGGAGGATGTGAAAATGGCTCAGAAGAAGCTGACAAAGCAAGTAGCAAGCTTACGTTAAACTGGTACACTACTGTGACAAAGTTCTATATTAAGTGCTATAAAAATATACAATAAATTCTTTTAAGAAATGGAATTGCATTGAAGCTTGATGATTCCTTACAGTAAATAGATTACAATAAAACTGTAGTTGTTGGTTAAGTTCTATTAATTGTTTTTAATTCTTTTTGACTTTTTCTCCTGGTCATCTGTTAGCCGTTCTGCAGGTCGCTTCTTCAATCCCTTCATTTTCCTAGTTTGTAGTTTGCTTAGGTCTTGTTTCTGCATATGAATCCTTCCATAAGTTGTACCAAAAGTATCCTGAGACATATTTTTCTTCTTCTTTGGCTATAAAACAAGGGTGGGGTGGTAATATTTTTATATACATATATATTTAACCACATGTCTAGTATATTAACTAGTAAACCAGTTATATACACCTCTTATGATTAGTGAGAACCCTCCTCCATGACAAAGAGGTAGCCCTATACATCCACCTCCTCAAACCTAGGTAAGCATAAAAATCTCCATATCCTCCCTTCCCCCTGCCCCCCTGAGTGCTGGGATTATAAACCACCATACCCAGAGTCCCAGGCAATGGCCAAATTTACATACTTCCCTAAGGGTTAAAGTTTGAGATTACTGATACCACCTTTTTGAGATTTCCTACAGAAATAAATCATAATCTCATTAAGGACTGGACAGCCTCCCTCACCCTAAAATTAAAACTACTAAGACTAAAACCAAGACTAAAACTGTATGTTGACCAAAGTTAATGATGTCATCCATATGCACTTGCTAATAATGGATTAATTGTGGCCAGTGGCTATACTTGTAATCTTTTCACATGACTACAGTTTTGACCCATGTTGTACCTACCTTATCATTTTCTCAGTGAAGTGGGCTGCTGCCAACACTTTCGGGACCTATTCTGTCTTTCAGGAGCTATTCTTATTCTCCAATAATTTTCCTTCACTTAATCTCCCTTGTTCCCTAGAATTCATTCCTTGACTTTGGAGAACCTGACATCCAGCAGGTTGGGAGTTAACTTTTAATTTTTTGGTTCTATGTTGTATTTGTGGTACTGGGATTGAACTCAGGGCCTTGTGAAGGCTTGACAAGCACTCTATAACTGAGCTACATCCCCAGCCTAGGGAGTTACATTATTCTCCAATATCAATTCCAGCACTCAGTGAGGCAGGAAGTTGGGCAACTGAAGGCTAGTTTAGGTTAAATAATGAAAGATCACAAAAATCTTGAAATGTAATTGATGCACATATGCTTTACACATAATGCTCTAAATCTCCAGTCTTCACAATGCCCAGAACAATTCTTTTTGCTGAAAATATCAGTCCTGGCTACCAGAAAGTTCTCACCAAACCTGATGCCTTTTTATTATCCTTTATGGTTGGCTCATTTGGTTCTTTTTCCTTTTCTGGCTGTGAGAGTCTAGTTTCATCTATTCTATTGATCTCTATGTACATCCTTTAAATATGACAAGAGTCAAAGGTCATTTACCTTGAGAGCTTTTGGCATTTTCATAGATAACTTATAAAGGTCATCTGAAGCCAGGTGTGTCCTCCTCAGAACCAGGTCCAACGAAGGTCCCATCTCTTCCAACTCAATTCGTGGCGTTCTGCAACCAGATTTCTTCAAGAGCAACCTTTATGGGGAGTTAAAAAAAAAAAAAAAAAAAAGAGAGAGAGAGAGATATGATATTTTGTATTTTATAAAGTGCTCCCTCTTGGGATCATCTAGCTTGGGTCTGGGCTGTCTGCCTCCTTAGACTACAAGTGACTGCACAGACATGCCCTGAGTTGGACAGCACCACACAACTATAGACCCCAGAGGATAGCTACAGACTTGAAATCACAAAGAACTATCTTTCTCTTGTTTATGTCTTTTATGAGTGTTGTTAGTTTTGTTTTCATTCTTGTTTTTATATTTGTCATCCTTCTTTCCTTAATGTCTTTTTTACCAGTTTCCCAAAACTTGAGTAATCTTTGCCTTTTAGCCTTGCTTCTAATTTTTCTCTTTGTATTTGTCTACTTTCTCCACCGTGTAGAGTCATCCTACTGAACAGTTATTTACTGTCAGTATTTTTCTGGTTTTACTGATTTTGAGACCAAGCCTTGCTATGTAGTGTAGGCTGGCCTAGATCTCACTTGTGCAGCCTCAGCTGGCCTCAAACTCATGGAAATCCTCTTGCCTTCGCCTCCCAAGTGCTGGGATTACTGGTGTGCACAACTATGTCCAAGCTTGATTTGTTTTAGATTTTGTTACGTAACCAGGAATCTTGTGCTTATGGTTAAAGTTACTGCACAGTTAACACAGTCTGGAACACCTCTCTGAAAAGTAGTCGTCTCCCAAAGAGTTCGTGATACTAAAAATAAGCTACCTGCTACAAGCAATTTATCAACTGCTTATCAGTGCAGAAAACTAAAACAGAAAATGGAAAACATGGAAACAAGATATAACCCCAGACCTCCAGTTCACTCAAGGCCAAGTCCAGGGGACATTGAGGTAGAAGAAATCGAAAGCCAACCAATGCACTTTTAAAAGTGGTAGTAGCAGATAGTATAAAGATGAATGTGTCTAGGGTCCTCTCACCCTAAATGCGTCTGATTGTCTGACCTCAAAAGATGATGAGAGGGGCCAGGGAGATGGCTCAGTGGAATAAGTGCTTCCCTGGCAAGCTCAGGGGCCTGAGTTCAATCCCAGGCTCCACAAAAAAAAAAAAAAAAAAAAAAAAAAAAAAGATGGTAAGAAAAAAAATCAGAAATACACAGCAAATGAAATGATGATCATAACAAAGGACATGGCTAGTGAATCTAAACTAGATACAGATTAAAAAAAAAAAAAAAAAAAAGCTCTGGAAAGTGATGGAAACCATAAATGACCAATATAGGGAAGAACTGGATTCCATAAAACAGATTTAAACATACATCCAGGAGATTAAAAACTCTATTGAAAGTATACAAAGCAGAACCAACCAATGTGAAGACCAGGTATAGTGGCACACACCTATGATCCCAGTAAGCCCAACACTTAGGACCTGAGGCAGAAGGATCACTGCAAGTTCAAAACCAGCCCAAACTGCAGTGAAACCCTGTCTCAAAAGAAAGAAAGAAAAAAAATCATGGAACCATGATAATTCAATACAACAGCTGCTAGATGATGCAAAGAAAAATAACACAAGAATTAAGTAAATGAATGAAAAAAACCAAAATAGCAGAAAGGCCTGTTCACAGAAGTAAAAGCAAAAAAACTTCTCAAACAAGAAAAAAGAGTATGTGATACATATACAAGTGAAACATAGTACTACAATTAGCCATGGTTAGGAAAAAAAAAAAAAAAAAAAAAAAACTACATCAAGGCACATTAACAGTCAAGATTCTAGAAATTCTACACACCAGAATATTAAATGTTATCAGAGAAGAGAAACAAATCATCCATAAAGGAAAGCCCATCTGAATCATGGCAGACTTCTCAAAACAAACCCTTAAATCAAAGACAGAATGAAGTAAAATATTTCAAGTCTGAAAAGAAAACCTCCAACACAGACTGATGTGCCCACAAAAATTACCTGTCAAAAGTGATACAGAAAGGTCTGGCTCAGTGGTCAAAAGCGACTGCTTAGGTAAGCTCAGGCAGGCACAAGGGACCACTGTTTGATCCCTGCACCACATGCTGTGCCAGCCTAACCCTCTGGGCAAGCTGAGCCAGCCAAAAAGAAAAAAGAAAAAAAAAAACCCAAAAAACAGAAAGAAATAAGATAGTTCCATGATAAAGAACACTCAAAGAAATTCAAGACCTACAAACTAGCTCTCCAAAAAGCTTTGAAGGCTATTCCAGAAAAACAGAATGAGGCAGACAATCCATGAATCCCAGTAGAATGAATCCACCAGGTCAGGCAAGTAATAAAACAGAAGGGAAACAAAGGGAACCAACACCAGGAAAATAGTACAACAAGGATAAATCAAAATGTAAGAGTTTAACCATCAATGTGAATGGTCTCAATTCACCAATCAAAAGAAACAAATTGGCAGAATGGATCAACAAACAAGATCTTATAATATGCTGCATACAAGAAACCTATCTAACTCAAAAACAAACTGACAGACTGAAAGTTAAAGGATGGAAAACAATACGTGATACAACCGGAACACAGAAAAAAGCAGAAGGGAGCTATTCTACTTGCAGAAAAAGTAATCTTCAAGACTGATCAGGAGAAACATAGGTCACTACACACTTGTTAAGGAAAAAAATCCAAGAGAAAGAGATGATATTCATAAATATGTATGCATCAAATACGAGTGCATCCAATATTGTTAAAAAAAAAAAATTCACAAAAGGCTGGGCAAAGTGGCACATTCCTGAAAGCTCAGCTACTCAGGAGTCTGAGGTAGAAAGATCCTTGAGTAATTTAAGATAAGCAACACAATGAAATCTTACCTCAAAACAAAATAATGAACAATAAAATAAAAATATTTAGGAAAGGCAAGCTTCTAAAATACACATTCAACCCAATTGTATCATTTACGTTTTTTTTTAAAATTCAAAGATAAAATCATATATTAAGAAACAAAAAGGCCAGCCACATAGCTCAGCAGACTGAAGCGCCTGCTTAAGTATAGAGCAGCGGCCGGGGATTGAGACTGGGTGTGGTGGTGCACACCTGCAATCCCAGTGCTTGGAAAGCTGAAAACAGGAGAATCACTACAAGTCCGATCTATGTAGTGAGGACTTGTAGATCCTGTACCAAATACATTTAAAAAAAAAAAAAAAAAAGAAAGAAAAAAGAAAAACAGTCAAACTATTCTTTTCAAAAAATAAACAATTTTAATTGATTTTTCACCTCATTTATAGATTTACATAAATATAAAAGTAATTTAGGGCGAGGTATGGTGGCACATACCTGTAATCCCAGCACTCAGGAGGCTGAGGCAGGAGGACTGCTGTGAGAGTTTCAGGCCAGCCTGAACTATAGAAAGACCTGTCTCAAACAAGAAGTAATTTGGGAGTATAGCCCAGTGACAAGCAGATGCTTAGTAAGCACAAGGCTGTCAATTTCCTTCCCAACACAAAAAGAATTAAATAATTTTAATTGAGTTCTTGAAACAGCATGTTTACATGGTTAACAAATTCACGACCATAAAAATTAAGTCAACCCATTCACAATTAGCTTTTCCCTACAGCACAGAGCTTCATGACCTAAACAGATTAAAATGAAGAAATCTTAAAAGAAACACTATCTTTCTGGGCATTCTAAACCCAAATAGCTATGGACATGGAAACATCTGAGAGCAGAAGGCAGAGCCAGAAGCTGATGTAGTAGTAGGGGAGAAGACAGCCTAGGAAATCCATCACAGAACAACTGCAAGACCTGGAATTCATGTTTAATTTGTCACAGAAACCTCATCTCCAAAGAGAATAAGGGTCGACTGACTGAAGGATAATGTTTATGCATAAAAAGACCAGCCCTTTCAGCCAAAACCTATAGTGTGAATGAATTGAAAGAAGAAGACAGAAAAGGAAAGGCCCAAGAAAAATGCCCAGAAGAGAGCAAACACCAGAGAGATTAAGGCCACAGCATCAATGTTCACTGAAAGCCTGATAGTGACAGTCCATCACTACCCATGCACATTCTGCTGCAGGTTACAGGGAATCATACAACCACTATGCCGCACCAGATACGGTCATTAACACTCAACTGAAAGACAAAACCCCCCAGGATACATAAACAGCCAAACTATTAGAACAACAAAAACCCACACTAATGTTAAAAGATAAAATGAGCCCAGGTTGGTGGTGTGTGCTTATAATCTTAGCACTCCAGAAGTTGAGGCAGGAGGACTGCTACAAGTTTGAGGCCAGGCTGTGCTACATAGCAACACACTGGCTTAAAAACAAAAACAAAACAAAACAAAAAATCAAGCTAGATGTGGTAGCTCATATCTATAATATCAGCACTTAGAAGGCAAGAGCAGGAGTCCAGGCTGATCTGGACATAGCCAGTCCCAGTCTAGCCTGGACTAATAATAAGACATTTTAAAAACGAAACAAGGAAATTATATATAAAATTTCAACAGAATTTTTTTCTACCATCTAATAAAAAGTTTTTCAGGGTTGAGGATGTTGCCCAGCATTAGTGAGATCCACGTCTCAAAAACAAAACCCAGGGGCCAGGGAGATGGCTCAGTAGAATAAGCACTTCCCTGGCAAGCACAAGGGCCTGAGTTCAATCCCCAGTTCCACTAAAAAAACAAAACCAAATACTAATTTTCAGCTAAGTAGAAAACACAGCACATCAATCCAAAGATGTGTACCTAATGGATTCAGATCACCCAGATTCCCACAATACTTTATTTACACAAGTATTGGTGAAAGTCATTTTTGAATGGCATATGTAACGAAAACCGCTTCTGAGTCACTTACATAACTGTGGGCCCACACTGTGCTGCAGACATCTGCTCTGAACAACTCACTGGGTGTGCTGCCCAGCAGATCACGCTCTCAGAAGGGCCCATTCTCCAGTGTTCGGCTCTGTGCGTGCAGCTCCTGGTGACAGGCTCATGGCTCTATCTAGTGATTAGTGTCTGCTTTTGAGTCAAACTTTGCCCAAACTGGCCTCAAACTTCTGATTACCCTGCCTAAGCAGCT